AACAAGAGGCAAAGATGGACACTTTATAACGAAAAAGGAGACAATCCATCAAGAAGACACAACACTTAGTATAAGTGGACCCAACCTGGGCGCACCAATCTACACACAAGGATTATCAACGGACCTAAAGGGAGAATTTGGCGAAAATACACTAATAGGAGGGGACTTTAATACCTTACTTGCAGCAATGGAGAGATCATCCGGACAGGGAGCAACGTGGAGATGTCGGCCTCAAATAACATACTGGACTGGATGGACCTGATGACATCTATGGAACTTTCCATCCAATAACAAGAGATGGAGAGAAGATCACCCTGAGGTAGTTCGGACTTTGAGTCGCCGGTGTTGCTGAGACAGTGGGTGTGTTTTCACTCGTTTGGAGGATGGCTTCATCATGGCACAGATGAGGTTGTCGTTGCCATTATTGTCTGCAAACTTACGTGATAGATTAATACACGTAAAGCACCTGAAACACGTGAAGTGTCTGGAACGTAGTGTTAGCCATTACTGCACACTAAAAGCATACGTATAGATGTGGAGTGGCCAAAGGGAGGACGGTGGTGGATTCTGCGGCTTGGCTCCTCACCAGCCTTCATCTAGGGGGCCTTCTGCTGCACACGCTAGAGAATGAAAAACTGCACTTCCCTGGCTCCGTTTGGAACTAGCATTGTGGGCGCGGCTCAGTTTTGGTCGGCTAATTGCACTTGCATGTGATTCGGAAGGCAAAATGAGGTGAAAGTCAGCTTCTGGCTGTTCTTTCTGCAATCACAGAGGCGCGCGTTTCCATGCGAATATCAGCAGGGTGTCTGAGTGTGGTGAGAGGCAGGGTGCAAGCAGTGATGGGCGGGGCCGCCTTGGACCTGCTGGTGATAGCAGATTAGTAGCATCTCTGTGCAGCTCGGCGTGCAGTGACGTCTTGATGGTAGCTCGAAGTTGGCTGTGGTGGGAGTGTGTGTGTGCATACACCAGGGTGATCAGCAAATGCTACAAATCAGGGCTCCCCCCTGCCCCTGGAGAGCTCACTGTTACAGGTGCAACAGCACAGCCGCAGGTCCAAGGCATCCTTTCTAGCGGCCCCTGCAGATGCAGCAGCTGCGGTGTGGCTCTGGAACCCAAACACCTCCTGATACTCGGACCATAGCAAGGGGTGTGTTTTCCTGGAACCGATGGTGGAGTCGGCAGCTTCCTGATTCTCCACCTTCCTTGTGGCCTGAGCACCGGCTCCCTTGGCAGGCCATTTCTGTGGTGTTCTGGGTCATTCCCAGAGCCTCAGCCTACATTCCATTCTTCCAGCCCTTTCCTTTCCTGTAAGCACCTGTTTTTCTGTGTTAAACTCCCTGTGTAAACCTCGCCAGAGAGGTTTGAGGTATATCTGTGAATGAACCATGACCGATACATGCGGGCCGCCCCAAGTAATCCTAAGATGCCGGTATCTTCCCTTGGAGACCTGGTCAGGGCACCGGCAGGAAACCAGTGGGAACCTCTAGAGCATTTAACCGAGGAGTGCTTTATGAAAGGACTATCTAGAGAGCTGTGAGCAGGGAGAGGCGAGGGACCAATGAGCAGTGGTGAGTGGGAGTTGGTTCATGTGGGCTCCAGGGAGCCGAGTGCCAGGTCATCAGAACTTTGGGAGCTGGATGCTCCCCGGAGCCAATAATAAAAGCTTATTTTATTTTATTCTCTAAACCACTTTACTGAGTAACATTTAACATGTAAAGAGCTGTGCACATTAAATGTATACAACCCTATGAGTCTGGAGATAAGCATACACCTGGGTAACCCTCACCACCACCACGGCCATAGACACAGCATCAGCCGAAGTGTCCTCCCACCCGCTCTGTTGTTTTTTCGTGCATGTGTGGTAAGAATTCTTATCATCATACTTAACATAGCAAATTTTAAGAATACAATTCAGTACTGTTGACTATAGGCACTGTGCTGTATAGTGATCTCCAGAAGCCATTTATCTTGCATAATAATTCAAATTTCAGTGACATGAACTTACGATTAAGTGAATTATACTTTCTTTTAAATGCCATTTTATTCTTCTAAGATTCTATTGACTTATTCTCAGAGAGAGGGGAAGGGAGGGAGAAAGAGAGGGAGAGAAACATCAATGTACGAAAGACACATCGATTGGTTGCCTCTCGCACGCACGTCCCCAGCTGGGAACCTGGCCCTCAACCCAGGCAATGTGCCCTGACAGGGAGCCGAAGCAGCAACCTCTCAGTACGCAGGCCAGAGCTCAGTCCACTGAGCCACACCACCCAGGCCTGGATTATACTTTTAAAAGGTAAAAGACCTTCACTTTCTAATTATTTTGCTACATGTTACTGTCACCCATGCTCTTGCAGTTAATTTTGTCTATTGCAACTGTATGGTGGAAATACTTTGTCACAGTCAGCCAGTACGCATCTCTCCACAACACTGTGTTCCGTGACAACCACTGGTGGCTTGAAATTGGCCAGGGTTAGAATACTGACACCACGGAAATTGGCAAATGCTGCAAATCAGACCTTGGCTGATTGTCATATCGATTGCTTAGCTTAAGGAAGTGATGAAGGAAATGTTAATAATGAGATGAGCTGTCCTTAAAGTTGTGTGCCGTCTGTAGCTGTTCCGTTGTGAGTAGCATAAACACTTGGGGAAATGCTTCTGCCATACTTTAACACGATCATTTGACTCACAAAAGAAGTTGCGTGTGTCACTGATGGGTGCGTGTCTGCGTTGTTTCCTTGTTGCCTTACTCATTGATTAACGCGAGTGAAGATACCAAGCAACATTTGTGTCAAGAGTTTGGCAAAAGTCAACTAAAGCAATCTGTCAGAATCCATGAAGTTTACAATGAAGAGAACTTTCTAATTTATTTTTATTTGTAAATTGTGTACTACACATTCTTTATGCGAGTCAGAATTATAGCAGAGCTAGAATTACAATAAACCTATATACACACATATATGCATACCTTCCAATCCCGCCACCCCGCCGCCCACACCCCAGAAAACAAGCTGTCAGCCGCTTGCCAGCATGCCACAGCTACCAGGGGATGGTCAGGCTCCAAGGGAAGCCACCTTCTCCATAGCGAGCCTGGGCCTAAATTTAGGGGCAGGGATAGGGGTCAGTGTTACTGCATCCTGGTGAGAGCTGAGGAATGGGGCCGCTCCCAGAACTGCAGGGAGTCTCAGAGGATGTGTGTTGGGGGGTGGGGCCACAAAGACCCTTGGTCCTCACTCCTCCCAGCCTCCGGTCTCCTGCCTCCATTGGCCTCCATTGGCTGCGCCCCACTGGCAGCCTGAACGAGGGAGCTTCCTGAGTGGTGCCATCCACGTGGGGCAGCCTCTGAGGCACGGAGCAGAGCTGGGTAAAGGCAGTCACCAGAACAGCAGGTAGGAGGGTGGCCCAGAAGTAGCAGAGAGGAACCTAGGCATGGCCTGTGTCACCTCCTGGGCCTGAGGTGTGAGGGGTGGGGCCTGGCACAGGAGCATGAGCAGTCCACATCACGGGTGAGGACAGCTGGGGAAGCACTGTCCCGCAGGCGGGGAGCACCAGGAGGGGAAGGAGGCACTCCAAGGTCAAGCTGAGAGAAAGCAGGATGGCCATCACCACAGGCCTTGGCCTCCGTAGCTCCTTTGATTCCCGGAGCTTAATGAGGGCACCTGGATTTGAACTGCTCTAAAGAATTTTTTGTTTTAATCACAAAATCTTAGTGTACTGTCTCTGTCCTGTGCCTCAGCTGGGAATACCCGTGAGACCTTGGGTCCTCCTCTGTCATACCTGTCCCAGCAGCTAGCATGCATTATCAATCAGTACAGAAGTTGTTTCCATGTTTGGTCATGTCAATCCTTGGCTCCCTGTTAAAAATACTCATGTAAACATAGATGGAGTCGGTGAGGCGCTCTCTGCCACACACTGAACGTTCGAGTCCTCTCCCCGCAGAAGTGGAATACACTGAAGCCCTGACCCCCAACAAGATGGTATTTGGAAATGGGGCCTTTGGGAGGTAATGGGGCTTAGATGAGGTCAGGAAGGCAGGGCCTGCACGATGGGATGGGGCCCAGCCATGAAGACGCTCCCCACTACTGAGCTCCCGATTTGGGGGAGACCCCTTTCCTTGGAGGTCACAGGCTTCCGCTGATGTTTTTGTACCATCTTTGGTTTCATGTGGGGGAGGTTGGGAGGGTGTTGCTGGGGCGAGGCGGTAGCCCTTACTGCCTGCCCGGAGCAGCATGGTAGGCGGAGCTGCTCTCAAGGCCGTGGGGGTGGAAAGTTCTAATTAATCTCTCGGGAATGTGTCTCCGTGGGCACTTGGGCCCTTTCACAGCCAGTGCTCAGGGGAAGTGAGTTTCTCGGCTGGCCCGAGGGAACTGGCTGCCTGTGGGACAGGAGCTCACCGGTACGTTTTTCAGAGACGCTGCTTATTCTCGGAATCCCAAAAGTTTGAGGCCGGCAGAGACTTTTTAACATGATCCTTTTTGCCCCAGCGTGCCACCCGCCACTCGCCATTTACTGGTAGACACACAGAGGGCCCACGGGGACAGGGACCATTTCTTTCCCTCAGGGCTCGCCTCTCCAAGTCCTGGCCGTAGTGGCCCTGCAAGGCTACGTTGGCCACGACTTGACCCTGTTTCCCCTGCCGCATTCACCCCATCTTTCTGCTCCCCTTCATCTGCACTCGCTCTGCCGCCAGGCACCCCCGGGGCTCTCAAGCCAACCTCTCTCCCCCAGGGTGGGCGGGGCCTGTGGGGCCTCAGGCACAGAGGGGCGGGGCTTCGTGAGGGCGCCCAGTGCCTCCCCTCCCAACGGGGTCTCCCCAGCTCCGCACACTGCGTGTGGTAGGTTGGCTTGGCGGGAACCAATCCCCTGCCAGGAGCCTCCCCCACCCCAGGTCTGTGTGCGCAGGTACCACCTCTGGGAGGCGGGGCTTCGCGGGAGGGTCTCGCCTCTCAGCGGTGAGCAGAACGTGCGTTCCTGTTTGGGTCTGTGGTGAGCAGCGCACGGCCATGCAGGGCCCCAACCGCGACGACAACGAAGGCTCAGGCAGCCTGGTGGGAGGCGCTGGGTCACCCAGTGGCCCAGGGGCCCCATGGGCCCTGGAGACTGGGACAGCGAGGGAGCGGAAAGCGCTGCAGCTGAGGGAGATCCCCAGGTCGACAGGGCATCACCCGACTCAGGGCAGGCTGGAGAGGCCTTTGCCTCCGACAGAGACCTGGGAAGCCAGGTGCTGGAGTTGTATCCTTTTTGAGAAGCCCCCTCCCCCCCGCCCCCCGTGGAGGTAAAGGGAGAGGGCATAGGCAGGCGGTGAGGGGGGTGCAGGAGGATGGTCAGGAGAGGCTTCGGGGCCTGATGTGAGCGGGGTGGACTTCTGGTGGGATGCAAGGGGATTATGGGGACCTAGGGTGGCTGAGGGGAGCAGCTGCGGTGGCCTGGACACATGGCGGGGTGGCCTGAGGAGGGCTGTGGTGCCGAGTTCCTTGAACGGTCACCCTGGAGGGTCTTGGGTGTCCTGAGGGTGAGGGGCGGCCTGGGAGAAGACCAGCCTCTGACAGGTAAGGGGGCCTGAATCCTAAAGCCGCGTGGATGGTGCCTTTACCTTAACTCCACCAGTGCCGTCACGGTGCCCTTCCAGTCCGCCGTGGATGCGGAGGTGGCCCGCAGCTACCTGATCCCAGGTGCTGCACTCTACCGCGGGATGGTTCATTGGGAGCTCACGGTGACTGGCAGTGACCTCCTTATGTAAGTTCTAGAAGGGACTGGGTGGGAGTAGCCGCAGGAGGCGGGGCCGATCTCCTCTTGAGGGTCGCTCTGTTGGAGACGTGGAGACACCAAAGGGTTGTCTAACTAAGGAGGGTCACAGCGGGGCCACGGGGCACCGGGCACCGGCTCTGTCCCAGCCTGAGGGCCTCCTTAGTGAAGGAGGAGGTCTAATTGCCACCTCGGGGGAGGGGTCGGAGTGAGGAAGGCCAGCAGTTACCGCCTCTAAAGTGCTTTTCTTTTCTCCTCACTCGTAGCCAATTAACTGCTGAAGACTCTGACCTCCTGCGAATTTCCACTGTCTCCCTGCTCATCCAGCTCTTCATAGTGGCGCAGATCATGCAGCACCTTGGGCCCCCCGATTTTGCTAACTTTCAGCCCAAGAGAGCGGAATGAAGCCACGAGAGCGTCTCGTCCTAGGCAGCGCAGCCTTCCCTAAGGCCGCGATTTTTGCCAAGTGTCGACTTTATTGGGGGGCGGGGGAGGGTCTCATTGTTCGCAGATACTGGCCCTTGGCTGCCCTCTGCCCTCTTGTTTGGCCTGGTGCTTAAACTTTCGCTTCTTGCAGATAATAAAGCCGAGCTAATGTTTTGTGTCTGAGTTTCTTTTCGGCGCCCAGATTTTCTTGCCTTTGTCCCTGGGTTGGAGGGGAGAGGTTCTGGGGTTCAGAGGTTCAAGTAGTGCAAGCAATTGAAGACAACTTAGGAAGTGAAAGAAAATGAGAATTACTTGCATCTTGTCGTTCAGCATTCACTACTGTCAGCATTTGGGAATACTTACATAGTTTTAGCGTTGTATGTCTACGTTCAATGTGTAACAGTCGTATAGACAAGTAAGGTTTTTCAAGGATAGCATCAGTTTTGTTTTTCCTGAAATGTTCTCGTACAATATCTGGGCCTTACCTCTGTCTAAAAATTCTTCAGAAACATCTTACTGAATGGATGCATAGAAGATGCATTACAATGTAATTGTTCAACATTTAAATCGTTCTCATTTTCCCTAGTATACATAATGTTTTAATGGGATTATTGTATAAAGTCTCTGCATGATTGGTTGTTTTCTTAAGGTAGATTCCAAGAGGTAGATCTGTAACACAAAATTGCTCTCCAGAAAATGTGCCCACCCCCACAAGAATGCTGGTTTCCCCACATTATTGTCACTGCTGGATTTGTTTCCTGCTGAAGAAAGAAAAAAAAAAAAAAAAAAAAAGAAAGAAAGAAAGAAAGAAAGAAAGGAAAAGAGAAAAAAAAAAAAAAAAAGGAAAAGAAAGAAAAAATTAAAACTAAAAAAAAATTAAAAACATTCAGTTTGCACAAGGAGAGCAAAGAAACCAGGAAGACTAGAATACGAATTCTGTGCTTTACTGTCCTTGTTTCAGATCAGAGAAGAAAAGTGCTGGGACGGCTGGTTAAGAGTTTGGGGCAGGGGGCAGCACAGTGTAGTCCTAGGTGAACAGAATCAAAAGCAGAATCAGCTGTGCGCAGGCACTCTGCTATGTGCTTTGCCTACATTATTATATATAATTCTCACAACAACACAGTGAACTCAGTACTATCATACCTTTTGCAGGTGAAGAATTGCGGCGCAGAGAAACTAAGTAACTTTCTCCAGGTCACTGAGCTTAGAAGTGGCAGAGGCCTGATTTGAATCTGGGTCTGTTTGGCTCCAGCACCCGCTGTCTTAGCCGTGGTATCATGCCAACCTCAGCACTGCCACAGGGAGCCGCGAGGAGGCTGGGGTAACGCTTTTCCTTCCGATGGCTCCGGGGAACAGCCGCGTGACTAATGAAAGATACAGGAATGGACAAATGCCAGAAAAGTAGAAGAGGAAAGAGGGCTGGTAAGAAACCCAATCCTGGCTTTCCAGTGGCTCCCTATACTCCCAGATCTTTTTGCATCTTGAAACCTTACTTGACCCTCTTTGAAATGGATGTACAGTGGTGATACCTGTTTCCCTGCCCCCCTCCCCCACCCTCTCTCCTCCTCTATGAAGAGGGCTCTTTTTCAGGTACTTTTAGTAGCTAAGAAATGAAAAAATAGAATGAAGTCTTCTGCCAACTCAGAAAACGTCTCCATAACAGTAGAAGAAAAACAGTTTTATTATTGAGTAACCTTTGCGCCAGAACCTGACATACATCACAGGCAATCTGCTAGGAGATTCCAAAGACACAAAGCAATCTAACCCCTTTGTATAGCTGAGCAGCTGTTACTCGTTACATACACGTTCCCAAGAAGTACATACCGGTCCTCAAATAAGAGGACTTGACACCAGCAGGTCTCACATGTGCTTCATCGTAAGTTTACCTGGTAACCGGGGTGACCGTATGCATTAGTCCACGCGTGTCTTGGACTGAGTGTTTGTGTTGCCCCCATACCTCAAGTTCATACGTTGAAGCCCTCCAGATTTCCATCATCAACTTTCTCGACCGGCTTTCCCCGGTGATGCAGACCATGGGCCCCCTCTTTGCCGCTAAAGCTGGGCCAGGAAAAGGGGGCTGAGGCCCAGCCTTGCATCCGGCCGTAGGCAGAGGATCCTTCCCACAGCAGTGATTCCTGCAGTGGTGGCCGCTTTATTATGGGGCCCTAACCATTTGCCTGTACTGGACCTTGGGCCCTTGTGGTCCACTTGTTTTGTTTAGTGCCGAAGTCTTTGTCACTGCAGCAAATAAAACAGACCCACTACTATTCCATATCTGAGTTTCTTTTCAACTCCGGCACCTCTTAATAGGCTAGGCTTTGTCTCAGGGGCGGAGGGGAGGTCTGGGAAGCATATGTTCCAGCACTGCAAGGTAACTGGAGACAATTTAGGAAATAGAAGATGGGTCTTGTCATACAGTATTAACTACTGGGAACATTTTGGAATTGTTCCTTAGTTTTATAGCTGTATTTATATAGCCGATGTATAACAAGACCATAATGTACAATATTTTGCAAGCCTAACATTTTTACTAAAACTTTTCATCTAACATGAACTTTTCCTTTTTTGTAAAACTTCTTCGAAAGCATTCTTTTTAAAAAAGCTTTCACTTATTCATTTCTAGAGAGAGGGCAAGGGAGGGAGAGAAGCATCGATGAGGGAGAGAAACAGCGATCGGTTGCCTCTCGCATGCCCCCAACCAGGCATCCGGGCCACAACCCACGCAGGTGCCCTGACTGGGAATCGAACTGGCGACACTTGGATTCACACAGGCCAGCGCTCAACCCACTGAGCCACACCAGCCAGGGCTTCAAAAGCATTACTGAGTGGAGGCATAACAGATACTTTATAATGTAATTACTGGCCATTTAAATTATTTTCCATTTTTGTCCTATTACAGGATTCAATGGAATTCTCGTATATAAATGTTTCTGCGAATGATTATGTCCTTACAACAGATTCCAAGAGATCCTGGCTGGTGTGGCCCAGTTGGTTGGAGCGTTGTCCCCTACATCAAAAGGTTGCAGGTTCGATTCCCGGTCAGGGCATATACCTAGGCTTTGGGTTCGATCCCCGGTCGGGGTGCGTATGAGAGACAACCAACCGATGTTTCTCTCTCACCTCGATGCTTCTCTCTCTCTCTCCACCTTCCTTCCTCTCTCTGTAAAATCAATAAACATATTTTTTAAATGTTTTAAGAGATAGATTCCACGAGGTAGACTTACTGAGTTGAATATGAATTATTTTATAAAGCTTTCAATCTTCACTGCACAATTGCACTGCAGAAAATGTACTCTTCAACCAGAATGCTGGTTTCCCCCATCCTTGTCACTGTTGGGTCTCCTTGGCAAAAATCTTTTAAAAATTTCGTTTGCATGGCAAGAGCAAACAACCCAGAAATGATAAAATCAGAGCTTTGTGACCGACTAGTCTCGTCTCAGGTCAGTGAGGAAAAGTGCTGGGGCAATTGGCTTAAACCTCTCATTGGAAGGAGCAAGCTCCCTGTAAATTATATCGCAGCTCTTGCTAAACTCATTTATTACCACAGCTCTTTTATAGATGCCATCGGATTGTCTCCAAGATGGTCATGCTTTCTTGGATAAAGGCAGCTTTGCTTCCCTTTCAATGTGGATGGCTTTTATTGGTTGATATCGTTTCTCGTCATCGGATTGTATTTTCCTGCCTCTCTGCACGCCTGGTAATTTTAGATCGGATGCTAGATATCGTGATTTTCCCTTGAGAGCTGGGTGTCTTCATAGTCTGAGACACATGTTTTGCCATTAGTTCTGGATGCTATTAAGTGACTTGGCTAGAGTTGGATCCTTTAGAGTCTGGCTCTCAAGATTTGCTGTGTGGGCCCTTTCAGAATGGGAGTCATTTTTGCCGCACCCTACTGAGGCAAAACCCGTGGGAGCGCCCTGCCTGATGCCTCCCAAATTGTGAGGTTTACCATCCTGGCCAGTGGGGACAGCCACTAGTCCCTGTCCTGCTTGAGCCCTGGGCGTGGTTACCTTTCATCCCTTCAGGTAGTTCTCCACCCCCCGGCCCCGCCCCCGGCCTCATGCCGATTCCTCACAGGCTTGTGCTGCTCAGTGGCCTGCGGAATACTGGGCGGGGGCGGGGGACCCTCTGGGATAGGCAGCGTTCTCTCCCTCTGCCACTCTCCCCGCTGCGGTCCTCTACCTCGCAGACTCTAGGTGCTGAGGATTTCGGTTCCTACTCCTAAACTACGGGTGTCCGTGGGCTCTGCCAGGAAACTCCCTGTCCACACAGTCGGCTGGGGCAAGTGCAGGGCAGACCTCTCGTTTCTCTTCTCCCAGAGATCACTCATCGCTCGATACCCGTTTTCTTTACAGCCTGTGTTTCATATATTTTGTGTGGTTTTGGGGGGTTGTTTCAAATAAGTGGCAGCCTAAATCCAGTCCCCGTTACTCCATCTGTGCGAACAGAGCCAGCCATTGTAGGACGTGGGGAGCTGTGACGTTGTGAGCTGGGGCGAGAGAGATGCCCTCGATGGGCTGATGGCCGCGGTGGTCACGATGACCGTGATGTATCTCACCTGACAGCATGCAGCTGGAGCGGCTCCCTCCCTCCCTCCCTCCCTCCCTCCCTCCCTCCCTTCTGTCCTGTCTTCCTCCTTCGCCCTGTTCCTCCCCCTTTCCTGTCCTCTCTTTCTTGCTTCCTTTTCAGTTTTCCTTTCTCGACTCTTATTTTTTAGAGGGTAATTATCAATGAATAAAAAAGAAGTCAGCTCTTTTCCAACACGATCCACTCTGCTTCTGCTCCTGACTCCTCCTTATGGTTCTATTACATTTTGTTTATTTCTGAACGTCTGCATATTTATCGATTACAGGGTGGGGCAAACGTACGTTTACAGTTGCTTGTGTGGAAAAGAATACAACAATAAATAAGAACACAAGAATAAACTCAGCGTTTCGAGCACTCACAACTGTAAACCTCCTTTTGCCCCACCCTGCATA